CTGAATATGCTGAATGCTTATATGCCGAAATGGTAGTGGTGAACTATGTAGGTTAGTAAACCATGCAGGCTCGTAGCAGGAAGTAATGACTGCTTGCTGGGAATCAGAATATGCATATGAGACTCCAGGTTCCTTTAAAGTTACCTCATTCTTTTAAATTCTGGAACAACTATCCTCTTCGTCTCCTAAAGCTTTGTTCTTCACAGCTCCACTGGCTCCCATTATCTTTCAGAGCTGAGAAGATACATTCTTCAAGATAGGCATAGACTTCCAACTCCCTCTCCTTCCTGCCTCTCTCTCTCTCCCTCTCTGGTTTTCTGTCTGTCTCTCTCTCTCTTTCGGCCTTCATTTTATTTTAGTAAGAAATAAATGGAGATAAATGTAAAAATCTCAAAGTGATTCACTTTTAAAAAATGCCATATATGAATGAATGGAAGCATAGTTTCTGAATAGCTGGCCTTCAAGGTATATGAATTATGAATCTACAAGCCAGAAGGAAGCACACAAGATCATATCAGAAATTAGACCTGTCTTGACAATGTGATGATGGCGTTCGGGACACATACCCCAAACTATGGCACCTTGGCATATTGAATATTTCGAGCTGAAAGAGTTTGAGGAAATGGCAGAAGGAGGAGGGTCATTTTGACCTACCCCCTTCTTCCTTGAAATGGGCCATAAAACTGTCATGTGAGAGGTGCCCTCTCTATACCCAGAGGAAAGGAACATCCTTACCTCCAAAGATAAAGGGACATGGAGAAGAATGCAAACAAACAGGCCTTGCTGTTTCCCCAAGTTTACCACACTCACCTCATACTCCTTGACCTGTCCTCTTCCTCCATGAGTGTGCCCGCCTCATCAAACCTAGCATAAAATGCTCAGCTCAGGCCTGTTATTTGGGTCTTCATTTCCTTATGAAACCTCCTGTGTCACAGAAAAGTTAAATGAAATAAATTTGTCTGCTTTTCTCTTGTTAATCTGTCTCTGTCAGTTTACTTTTCATATCTAGCCAGGGACCCAAAGAGGATGGAGGGGAGCTTTTCCCTCTCTACAGTGACATGGCCGTCAAAAGACATAATGGTATTTATAGCTAGCCTGCAGATGATTATTCTGCATCTAAACTCTGGCAAGTATAGATTTAAGATGATGTGTTTCAAATCAAGAAACTTGGCATTGGCAGCAGGTAGGCTGGGTTTAATAGGACATAAATGTTGAAGAATTGAGAAGATTGAGTTTTAAGAGAAGATTACAGAAACAGATAGTATAAATTACAATGCCATGATTCACTCAAATAGATGGGAACTAAAGGAAATGTTATGTAGTTTAATATTAGGAAAATATTGCTTTCCAAAATAATAATGTCAAAAATGTAATATTATTTTTCAACCATAAATAAACAACCAAACCATAAACCATAAAGATAACAAAGTACCATATAGGCCATGCTCATCAAATGAAAAAATTAATTGTTTGGGATCGGAAGAAGGGACTGTGCCTCTGCCTGTGTTCTTTAAATCGATACATTTCTTCTGTAAAAAATTAAGAAAAGGCAAATATAAATAAAATTAATAAAATATAAGACGGATTGATAACTACAGCCAAAAATAAAGACTTAAGCACAAGATGTGGCAGCTAAGAGAATTTTCCCACATGGTTGGCACTGTTTTACTGGAAAGCAGATAGACATTTAAAGGAGGCAAAGTGTGGGGAAGTATGGAGAATGAGATTTATGGCACATTGTGGAGAAGGAAGGTACAAGGGAATTCTCAGAATGTGGAATAGAACAGGAAAAACTGCCAAAGGTTGAAGCCATGGAGTTGATGTCAAAACACTGGAAAAATCTAAATAGATTAAAATGAACTATGGAGATTTCACAGTAGGCTATTCCCTCCTACAACTTCCAGAACACTGGAGGCAATTTAGAGAGAGTTCAGGAAGTAAAAGAAAGGAGTGTTTTTTTCAGAGAACTCAGAGCACACATATACCAGCAGTGGCCAAACATCAGTCAATGGATCTTCCAGTTGAGAATACCATGGAGAAGTTTTTACATAAATATAGACTGCAAGGCTGTATTAGTGATCTCTTGTTGGGTAAGGAAGTACGTCTAAGTTTAGTGGCTTAACACACATTTGTTGTCTCACAGTTTTGTGGATCAGGAATCTAGGTGACCTCTGGCTTGTCCTCTGGCTCAGTATCTCTCACAAGGCTCAATTACATGGTAAATATATTGATAAACTAAGCAGAGCTCTGGGTGATTTCACACTTAAAAAAAGGATAAAGCTAGGATTAATTTTTACCTTATTTGCATGATAAAAAGGATTAAATAAAATAGAGTGGGCAAAATGGAATATAGAAAAAGTGAAGATTTCTGTTAAATAAACCTGACATCTTATATTTCCTGGTTGAATGAATATAGTTTTAAAGTCCATATATAAGTATAGATTTATTTATTTAGATTTATATTTTTATCTATATCTATCTATCATTTATCTGTCTATTGACTTTATATCCATTAGGAATAAAGGTTAAACCATATAGTTTTAAACTCCATATATAGCTATAGACTTATTATTTATATTTATATTTTATCTCTCTCTATCTATCATCTATCTATCTATCTATTGACTTTATATCCATTAAGAATAAAGGCTAAACCATCTTTTACTTAAAGAAATAGATTTTAAAGTATGCTAAACAAAATGATATACAACTTAGGTACATTTTCCTTTGGTATATTTAGCTTTATATTCTTAGCCACTAATATCTGAGAGTTTTTTAAGAAGAGAAATTTGGTTTATAAATAAGAGTCACTGAAGTCTAGAGAGTGTTTATTAAAGAATAACACCCAGAGATAATTTTAGATTTAGCTATAGATGATTAATTGATCAGAAGTTTCTGAGAATATAACATGTTCCCAGCATATTCTTAGGCAATGTGAATACTAAGAAAAAAATGTTAAAAAATCGTGTAGTCTACGTTGGAAGAGAGATGAATGACTCTTCTGTTCACTCCTCATCATCTTCCCAAGTGCAGCCTCCAAAACATACTGTAGCCTAAATTTCAATATCTTCAAAGATGGGAACTGTCTTTGTTTGGACTGCTATAACAAAAATACCATAGACTGTCTTCAACAACAGAAATTTATTTCTCCCAGTTCTGGAGGTTGAGAAGTCCAAGATCAACGTGCTGGCAGATTTGGTGTCTGGTGAATGTCCTCTCCATGCTTTGCAGATGGTCATCTTCTCACTGTGTCCTCATATGATGGAGAGGGAGCTCATCTCACTCCTGTCTCTTCTTGTAAGGGCACTAATCCCATTCATGAGAGCTCCACCCTCATAATCTGATTACCTCCCAAAGGCTCCATCTCTGAATACTGTCACATCGAGGGTTAGGATTTCAACGTATGAATTTTGAGAGGACACAAATATGCAGTCCGTAACAGAAATCACTTCACACTGCCTGTTTCACTGTTAGAGATCTCCAATTAATTGAGACCATTCTCATATAATATCCATATTTACCTTTCTAAAATTTCCACAAATCAACCTTTGTTCTGCTTTATGTAATATCATAGGGAGCCTAATCTCTTCCTAGACCGTGAGCTTCCTGATGACAAAGAACATGTCTTTCTCTTACCTCTAGATATCGCATGCCTGGTAACCAGTATGTATTTTGGATAAACGGCCTCTAATCTCTGAACCCTGTTTTTAGAATAGCTCTGAAATTACAGTTTCCTTTGTATTTACCTTAAGTATAAATGGAGGCAAATGCTGTATTCTCTAGGGTCAGGCTCATTTCTTTGTTTCCACAAATCCATAGCAGAATAGCTAAGCTACTTATAGTTCATGGATATGAACTTTATCTGCTCTGACCCGTAAAACCAAATTTCTTTCTTGTAATTTATTGCCCTCTTGGCATTTTCAATTTTGCTTTTCCCCTGACCCCCTTCTTGAACTTCCGACTTTCAGCCTCTTGACTTACTTTTGAGCTATGTTTCCACTGATTCTATGGTGCCAGCCCTTGAAACCCCTGTCCCAGTTCTAAGCCCTGACTTGATTTGTTCCCCCTTAAAGCCATCCACAGCCTAGTAGGGTGGATTCTTCTTATGATGCATTGAATTGAGTTCAGATTTGTTCGTTCTTGTGGTGGTTATTTATTGATTAGTAGCGAATGCATGAAACATAATGAATTTGGCAGTGAGCTGGAAAAGGTAGACCTGGAAACTAATAGCCACTACAGAATAATGGCTCACAGGTCAGGTGATTGGTCTATATTTAGGTCTCTCCAAGCAGAAGTGATTATTGCAGGGGTGCAAGTTGGAGAAAATTAAGCAGGCCAGAGTCATGACATGATGGTCAGGGCCATCATCAGGTCAAAAGCCAGAAAGAGGGAATGCCACAAGAATTAGATCAGCACAAATGCCAGACAACCTACAAGGTCACTTGTCAGAACGTCCTCCCAGGCTGAGGAAGAGGAGCAGAATCAAGTAGGGAGAGAAGATAAGAGAAAGAACCTTGACATTAGGTTTTACCCCTTTGACTTTGGGTTTTTATGTGTTCCTGTCCTAAAAGGATCTAGGCTTAGCCTAACTAGTTCAGGGCATGTAGCTGACTGGGTACGTCTCACAAAACTGGAAAGTTTATTGGCTATGGCATTCCTGGCAGGTAGATTTTAAAAATTGCTCTGTTCCAGCCACCCTGAGGGTCGCGCCTGACTCTCATCACCTTTATTATTGCAATCCCTTTCCTTTCTCCCTGCATTTCCTTGTTCATGCAAATATTCAGCAAAATAATAGCTATTGACTGATCACTTATGATATATCAAATACTGTGCTATATGCTGGGGAGTGCAATGAGGAGTGATAGAACCACAGTTTCTGCTCTCAGAGAGCTACAGATGAGTGGAGGAAGATACTCAAGAGCCGGGGTCCAGCCCCAGCCGAACAGGGTCTCCTGAGGGATGGACGGCGTCAGTGAAGGAGGAGGCAGTGAGACAAGGAGTTTGGTGTCCAAGTCCAACTTTATTTTGTGTATGCATGATTTATATAGGGCTCAGGATATGCACGGGTGATTTCATGGGACAGTCCCAGTACATATTTTTGGCTCGCGTAAGCGGGTTTTTGTAAGGTAGACAATAGTCCTAAGAGCAACCGTATCTAGGGAGTCAAGCTTCTGCAATCCTTTACTTCAAGGAGGCTGCCCCCAGCGGCCTCCTGACTCAATGGGCCGCGGCAACCACCGTCCTCCCAGAGAGATCTGTGGGGGCTACAGATTTCTTTGTTCCCTCTCCACTCCCATCGCTCCACCCGACCAAAGGACGGGTCAAAATGTTCTTTCCCTAGAAGATGTTTTTCCCCAGAACTTTCCCTAGAATATTGCGTTGTATCATTCTCATTCTCAGGGCCGGGCTGACTTCCCCTGAAATAACCCCAGGTGCAGAACAGAGTAAGCAGAAGCAGGAAAGTCAAAAGTACCAGGGAGACTCGTTGCAGGGGCAGCCTGGTAGATTCCCTTGAGGGTCGCTGTGCGTCCCCTCATCTCTCTCCCGGATCGTGTCACAAGGCAGGGGCTTAACTTGTAGGCTGACGGCTCCCAGCATCTCCCCCTTTTTTGTTTTTTAGAGAGGCAAGTCGCACTTCAGCAGAGACCCTTTCAATGGCTCGCCTTAGCAGTCTGATGATGACTGGAAAAAGAAGAGCAATCAGAAGAAATCCTAAAATAATCCCCAGAGAGATAAAGAAATGAGAAGTACTAAGTGTGTGACGAGTTATGAAACTAGAAAGGGAAGTGAAAAAATCAGAAGCCGAAGAGGAGGAGGCAAAATCTTTTTCAGCTCCATTAATGGCTTGAATTTGATCATGGAGTGAACTTAGGTCTAAGCTTAAGTCAGAGTGATTCCAAATTCCCGGAATATGATTTTTAATTTTATCCCAAGAGGGCTGAGATTCATTGACCTGTAGAGGGGTAACACAGATCCATCTATAACTTACATGACAAAGAAGAGTTAAGCGAACCTTTAGATTCGTAAGTTCTTGTCCTATTTGAAGTACGGCTTCTTCTGAAGCATTAACTTTAGCTTCTAACTTTCGATCTATAGCTTCTTGTGTGGCTAAGGCGAGAGTAATGTCTTTAGAGAGATCATCAACACAGGAAGCTGTGTGTATCTGTTTGGCGAGTGCTATGGCTGATACAGTCAAGGAAGTAGGGAGAGTGATTAAGGCTGATATGCCCAAAATTAGGGCAACAACAAATCTTTTTGATCTAGAGAGGAACTGAGTGGCTCCCTCAATTGTTTTAAGGCCTGTATCATCAAACCATTTTTCTTTTAAAGAGACAGGTACAATTATATAAGGTGATTGTTGTAGAATCATAACATTTTGTATTTTTACAGCAGGAGATAAATAACTAGTCAAAATACAGTTCTTACAGGTTATATTATAAATTTGAGAGTCCAGGTTCCTAATATTAAAGCAGTGATAAACTGGCGGGAGCGCTGTAAGAGATCAGTAGCCTGTTTTAACGTAAGCAATCCAACATCATCATTCCAAGGTTCAGATAAATGAACAGGTAGCATAAGGTAGGGGGATTGTTGTAATATGATTACAGCTTGTACCTCTATATCGGGGCTCAAACAATTAGTTAAAATACAATCTGGACAGGAGATATCATAACAAGAATTATTAAAAGAGATAGACATAGCAAAACTGTGTACAGGAGAGGCCAAGAAAACATAAGGGGCTGGGACACAGGCCTTAACCTTATACAATTGTGATCCTGTTGGTCTAATCAATACAACATTCTGTAAAGCGGCTATGGCCTGCAACAAGTGTGGCTGAATTTGCCAGAGTCAGTAAAAAGAATAAGAGGGCGGAGGCGAGTGCGGACGGGCAGCCAAACGTTTAAAAGGTTTCTCGCGGAGTGAAAGTCGTCTCATCTGGGCTACTGGGGGAGATTTATCATCCATCTTGACTTGGAAGCTGGGGCTCATCCACTTTTCTGGAGGTGGGGGCAGAGGCTGCTTGCGGTACATGCTGAATCAGACGATCAGGAATCCACCAAGGAGATGAAGCGTCCTGTGGAAATATGCAAGCATATCCTCGACCGCTGGTTAAGAGAATATCAGGACTTTCCACTGTCCTGTAAGCAAGTCCTTCCATTTGATCTGTGGTAAAATTTTTTGTTTATTATGATTCCAATGTCTCATCATAGGTGAGCTTAATAGACTAAATAAGTCTAATTAGTTTAGAATTTTCCACCTTATAGGAAGAGAGAGTAAATTTCTCTGTGAAGTCCCAGGGGCCCTCTGAAAATCCCCAGAGAAATCCTTCTCCTTCATTCAGGTCAAAAGAAAGCCTTTATTTAGGATTTGAATATTTTTGAGGGAGAAGTTTGTCAAAAATATCAAAAGGTTTTAAAACACTTGTTCAAACAACACTCACTGTGAAATAATGCTCAGGTATCTATTCAAATATCCATTGAAAATAGAAACAGTCAAAAAAAAAAAATCTTAAGAGTGACCTCAGTCATTATTTTAACAAAACAGATTTGTTTTTTAGGTAGACTTAGAGCAGGCCAAAAGTTCAAGATAATCATCCTTTGAGAGTGTAGGGGAGGAAGACATTTCCTCTCCCCAAATGGGGGTTCGTCTGGCTGGAGAATTAATTAAATTCACATGAGACAGAATAGCAAGAGAAAATTAAACAAAGCTTTATGAGGAACCATGGCCCAGGGCCTTTCTTCCCGAAGGAAGAAAGGGCACCAAAGAAGTGGGGTGCACATAGTGGTTATATACCCCCAAACAGGGTGTTTCACATGTGATTGAAATGTCCCTCCCACAGTAGTCACAAGACTGCCCTGTCAGTACAGTGCTTGATGGACACATCAGGTAGTGGTCTGCTGTCTCAGAGGGTGTAGCAGGAGGCAAGTTGATTGTCTGGAGCTGGGCGGTCACAGGTGAGCGCAGCAATCAGTTCCTAGCCTAGGGAAAGATGCTTAATCCTTAAAAAATGCCAACGTTGGGAGGGGGAAGGAAGTCAGTTACAGGAGGTTACCAGACTAGCACAATAAAATGCAGATTTAAGTCCTTGCCTTTGGTATTGATTAAGAGTTTCTAGAGAGAAGGTCATCTCCTTTCTTCTTCCTGGTACAGAGAGGGAGCCACCTTTTACAGATAGAGATTTACCTTACAAATGTAAACGTGTCCTAACAAAGGGCAAATTCCATTCCTCCTTCCCTGTCCCAGTTTATCAAAAGCAATCAGCCTCAAATAATCCTGATGCCAAAGAGACATATCTTGGGGTGGCCAATTTCAGGTCCCCACAGTCCCACCTTTGAAACTTTAAGAAGTTTCACAGTCCAGAAGCTGAGTGGTAGATTGTTTCGTCTCACTGAACACATTTCTTAGTGCTGTTAACAGATCAGTCCAGTTAAAGTCATTTTAGAAGGCAACGATACAGGTGGGCTCCCAAAGTTAGGCCTATATTTTGGAAGCAAGCAATCAGGTATTTAATAAGTATTTCTATGGAAATAGAAGAAAAACAAGGTTAGTGATTGGAGCAAATTATAAACTAGTTCCTGAGTCCAGGAGGCAGCCAGTCAAGAAGACTTCTAGATGTCAGAGTGAAGCATCTTTAGCAGCTTGAAATGTCTCTGATGATGTCATTGGGCGTTCAGGTATCTTTCTGAGTGGCTTACAGGATACACAGCAACAGGCAGGAATCTCTGTTAAGTTTCTATCAAGTTGTCCAGCTTTAGTTAGCAAGGCTTCAGGAAAAAGAGCAGGTTCAATTCTCAATGATTCCAAATGAAAATGAGGAAAAAAATAGAAAACATTAGTTTGTAGGTTTGTAACCAGATATTTCAGTGGAAGAACTCAGGATCCAGTTCAGTTCACAGGTAGAAAAAGCCTCAAAGACAATTAACAGAACTAGGATCTAATATCCACAAATGTGTATTTTAGTTTTTCACTGAAACATAGTTCTTCTCTCTAAAATCACCCTCATTTTTACCAAAGGTAGCCAGACTAAGACTAATTGGTTTGCAAAATAAGTTTAGTTTCAAGAAACTTGGCCCAATTATTTACATAAGTGCAGCAAGAATTGCAGTTGATCATATAGGGTCTTCAATCTGCTTTGCTGGAATTCTTTATGAGGAATCTCAGATTGAACTTTAAAGACCTCTCGAGGCCAGGAAAGCTAAGCCAAGGACTTGCCGTCAGATTTTGCCTGCAGCACCTACAGATTTGGGTGGATTTCTCTCTTCTTGAGGTCCCCCAAAATATTGCGAGGTTCCTTACATCTGCCAGATAAGCAAGCTTCCTTACTTACCAGGTAAGATTGCTGGAATCTCTCTCTGTAAAGCAAGGTACCAGGCCCATATTTCCAAGTGGCTTATTTCCACAAAGTCAACCTTAGTCCTCAAAAGTGGTATTGTCATATCCGAGTCTGTATGTTTCTCTCAAATATGACATTCCAGTCAAAGCTTTGGCAAGATAACCAATGTTTCCAATTGTGTCCTGTTATAAGGAGAACAGATTCTTATTGAACTTATGCAAATAACTATATTGCCATGAAATAAACATACTCACAAAGAGTTTCCAAATTCTCGAGGGATCAGGTAGGAAGAAAAAGATAAATGTTTCAGTTTTGCTCACAAAGGTATAATTTCACTAAATTGCTAATAAGTCATAGTTAGCACAAGAAAAAAGAGAAAAAGATTTTCTTGAATCTGAAAAAACAAAGCAAAACATCAAAAAATCAGCAATATTTCAAATAAAAGTCACAAAAATTATCATCCTCAGTTCATTCACTCCTGTATACTCAGTTCTTGATCTTAATCTTCTGTTAGCAGTTTTATGGGGTCATCAGTTTCTCCGTTAGATTTCTGTAATTTCTTACCCAGAGTTCAGTTCTATGATCTGAAAGTTTATCAGAAAACTGTGTTCCAGAGTAAGTGTCAGAGTCCTTTCCATGAATCCCTCTGAAGATGAGACATATTTGCAAAAGCAAAAAGCAGAGTAAAACAACTAACTGTAAATAACAAAGACTTAAAAATGACAATTGACAGAGAAACTTATTATTTCTGTGATATACAACACCTTAAACTAATAATTAGAATTATGACTGATAACCAGGGCAGATCAGAATTTTAGGAATGTTATATAATTTTCAAATCACTTATATCAATAACATTTACCCACATAATACAACTTAAGAAAGATTATCATCACTTTATCTGACAATGCTTCCAATGTAATTTAACAGACCAAATGAGCCTAATTAGTTTAGAATATTCCACCTTATAGGAAGAGAGAGCAGACTTCTCTGTGAAGTCCCAGGGGCCCTCTGAAAATCCCCAGAGAAATCCTCCTCCTTCATCCAGGTCAAAAGAAACCCTTTATTCAGGATTTGAATATTTTTGAGGGAGAAGCTTGTCAAAAATATCAGAAGGTTTTAAAACACTTGTTCAAATAGGAAACAACACTCACTGTGAAACAATGCTCAAGTAGATACTCAAAATGACAACAAATAGTCAAGGGTAAATAGCTAAGAGTCGAAATTTTAAGAGATCTCTTTCTGAAGATGGGAAATCATTTTAACAAAACAGATTTTCTGTCTTTTAGGTAGACTTAGAGCAGGCCAAAAGTTCAAGATAATTATCCTTTTGAGAGAGAAAATCAAATTCTAATTTTTGTACCAGTTTACTTTTTCATATTGAAACCCATTTACCTAATTAGATTCATTTCAATCTTAACCAACTTGACCAGGTACAAAACTCTTTTCAAAATTTCTATAACTTTCTTTTACATTCAGAATTTGTCCCATGCTTTCTTTCTTACTTTCTAGTATATTAGGACAAATTTATCTTTCTTAACCCAACAAACAAAATATTTCCATTCTTTATACCCTCTTTACTGAAAACATACATTTTACTTTCCTTGAATTCAGAACATTTTCCCTATTAACTTCTAGTCACTTTAATTACATATATTAATTAGAACTTTTAACCCTTACAGACCGTAGTAAAAACTATAAACTAAGCAATTATGAACTGTTTTTTTATATGAACATTCTAAACACTTTTCATAATTTCTAGAAACATGCCACTTTACAATGAAACACAAGGCATACTTTCCAATAGACCCAAATGCTTTTAGCCTCTTTGCAATAAGAAGCCAAAAGTAGATAAACTTACATTTAATAATTAATTTCTAATATCTTATTTGGAAATGATCTAGATACTCAATGAATTTTATCATTCATTTAAATTAACCTAGCAAAGCTTCAAAACTTCAAGTTACCAAAGATTTTGGAATTTATTTTAAATACACATACCATAAACTATAATTATTGCTAAAAGTTTATCTATAAACTCTTATTTCATTTATATCTAAATCGTTTGTTCCAAATAATGATGTTTAGATTACCCATAAAAACTTTGAGACATTAGACAAACTTTAGCTATCATTTAAAGCTATTATGCTGACAAATTTCTAACAGATAACATGAACTTATTTGACTGGTAAACTCAGGCTGCATATTTGCATATGCAGTGCTAACTCTGGAGGACATATCCAAACATTTTAATCAAACCAACAAACTTAAGCTTTCATTAACCAAAGATTAATCCACATCATCTTAACTTAAAAGACATTGGGTTAATTTCTATTTCATTTAGAATTTATGTAAGCGCTTACTTTAAGCCAATTAAACAGAGCTCTTAGTTTTGGCCATATCACCTGGGGGTAAAAATATCACACACATATAGACACACAGACACAGACACACAGACACAGAGCCTTCACACATATTGTTTTAAAAATCACTGCCATCAATCAGGTAATGAGTCAATCACCAAGAGAGGGCACCCCACTTGGTTGCCAGGGTGATCAGGCCCAGAAACGGGGGCTGGGGGGGGAGCTCCCAGAGGTGGAGCTTTTGATATCTTAAAGATTTCTTTGTTTCTCAATTGCAAAGCTCAAAAGAGCCAAAAATGGTCACTGTAACTTTAAGAGAGAGGAAAGAAAAGGGTCCATTACCTTGAAAATCTCCTGAACCTAGGGAAGCGTCCTACTTGTTCTGCCTGTGGGATGTTCCTATAGCAAGGGGTGATAGGGGCGTCCCCCTGCATTGCATCTCTTGTATACCTTCCCTATTATGCCTGGCAGTCATAAGTGCCTGGTGAATGGTCCCCAGGATAAAAGAATAGAGAAAAACAGTGAGGAACTTTCCGCTAGTCTGGGGGACATTCTACCCAATTGCAGCCTGGAGCTATTCTCCCAAGAAGGGGTTCCCCTACTCAACCAAAGGTTAGAGTTTGGTACTTTCCTTGAACTGGAGTCCCGATTGGGACTTTTCCCACAGTTCAGAGCATGGTCAGGTGCCAGAGGGAGGGATACCATTCCAGCCTTAGGAAAAGAAACCTTTCACGGGAGTCTTGGAGATTGGCGACCCGTGCCCATGTAAAATTTGTCTATTAGAGATAGAGTCAGGAAGGAATGGATTAATTCATTCTCCATCACCCTCAGGCTTAAGGTACTGATTCTCTTCAGGCTGAATGCCACAATTTGCCCCATAGAGTAGCCATGGGCAGCAAACATGGATTCATACAGCTGTCCAAGAAGGTTCCCGATGGAGCAGTGAATTTAGATCCATCCTCGAAAAAGAGAAAGTCACAGGGAAAAAATAGGGCACTTACCAGAACTTGAGCTTACAAATAGATGAAGCAAGTTCACCAGAAATGATGTGGGGTCGGTGAACTGAGGAGTCGAAAGAAAGATTTCTTGGGCTCTCAAGATTTGGCAGCAGTGCTCTTTTATTTAGAGAATAGCATGGAATAGCATGGGGACAGGACCCATGGGCAGGCAGAGCTGCTGCGTGGTGACAGGACCCACAGCCAGGACTTAACAGGTCTTGCTCTTGTAATGTTGCACAAGGAAGTATTCCCAGTTAGACATTTTAAAACATACTTAGGCAAAGTTGATATAACCTCTTTATAAAGAAAATCAGCTTCTAAGTTGTGTTCCCACTATCATCCAGGTTTCCAAATTAACAGTTTCCTCTTCGGGGAACCAGGAACACTGTTCTTGTACGAAATGTAGGAATTTAGAAATCTGTCCCGAAGAGGCTTTTATGCCTCTTATTATTATTATTTATTTATTATTTTATTATTTATTATTTATTTATTTATTATTAATGTTATTATTTCTATACAGAGCCTTCTTTCTTTAGACTCAGTATGGCCTAAAACTTCTCAAAAATTCTTAATATTTTTTACTCTTCCTAACCTTATTTCACTCTCCCTTTCTGGAGAGGGACTAAAACTTCTCAACTTTTTAAGTTCTGACCTACTACCTATCTGTCCTTTCCTCACTCTCCCTTTCCAGAGAGGGGCTAAAGGGGGCGCTTCTTTCCAGCCCTAGGTAGGAGCCTATCCGTCCCGAGAAGACGGGGGAACTTACCCTTCAGGTCCATGTTCCGGCGCCACTTGCCGGGGTCCAGCCCCAGCCGAACAGGTTCTCCTGAGGGATGGACGGCGTCGGCGAAGGAGGAGGCAGTGAGACAAGGAGTTTGGTGTCCAAGTCCAACTTTATTTTGTGTATGCATGATTTATATAGGGCTCAGGATATGCACGGGTGATTTCATGGGACAGTCCCAGTACATATTTTTGGCTCGCGTAAGCGGGTTTTTGTAAGGTAGACAATGGTCCTAAGAGCAACCGTATCTAGGGAGTCAAGCTTCTGCAATCCTTTACTTCAAGGAGGCTGCCCCCAGCGGCCTCCTGACTCAATGGGCCGCGGCAACCACCGTCCTCCCAGAGAGATCTGTGGGGGCTACAGATTTCTTTGTTCCCTCTCCACTCCCATCGCTCCACCCGACCAAAGGACGGGTCAAAATGTTCTTTCCCTAGAAGATGTTTTTCCCCAGAACTTTCCCTAGAATATTGCATTGTATCATTCTCATTCTCAGGGCCGGGCTGACTTCCCCTGAAATAACCCCAGGTGCAGAACAGAGTAAGCAGAAGCAGGAAAGTCAGAAGTACCAGGGAGACTCGTTGCAGGGGCAGCCTGGTAGATTCCCTTGAGGGTCGCTGTGCGTCCCCTCATCTCTCTCCCGGATCGTGTCACAAGGCAGAGGCTTAACTTGTAGGCTGACGGCTCCCAGCACTCAAGGAGCAAGTATAATGTAGCACAAGAAAAGCTACGATAGAGGAACAACACATAGGAGAATACCCAAAACAGAGTTCTCTGCCGTGTCTGAAACCTCTGGTCAGACATTGCAGAAGTACTTCCTTTTCGACAATCCCTGGTTTGCTGGCTTCTCTCCTGCGACTGTCTTGATATCTATATCCTGGGTTCCAACATCTCCCTCTTTTCTCATTTTGCCTCCTAGACTGCATTGTTGGATTGAGTAACAATACTCTGCTGCCCTCTCTGCTGCTTAGCAATCGTCTTATTTATTTTATGTTCACTCCCTCTAGCCTGTGTGCTTGGCTGCTGTAAACCTGTCCCTTCCAATCAAGCTCAGATCTTTTCACTCTCAGCCTGTGACCTTGACTCCTATTTACTGAGCAGATTGAGGTTATCTGGAGAGAATGCCCTCAACCCTCCACTGCTGCTGGCTGACCAAGAAATCATCTTCTTTGCATATAAATATTTCTTTCTTGTATCCCATTTGCTTTTTTTCTCCTGTCTCAGAGAAAAAATGCAGCTTTTCCTTTTTGGTCCTAATCATGCCACCTGTGCTTTTGACTGAATTCTTGCTGCCTCTGAAACTCAGTGGGCATCCATTATTGCCTCTCATTGGATTCTTTCCATCTATTAGAAACATGTTAAGACTACATAAACCTAAAAAATATTTTACCTGATCCCAAGATTTTTTTTTTTAAATAGTCTTCCATAATGTTCTTTATTCATCACAAAACATGTCAGAAGATCTCTGGGCATTGTTTCTTCTATTTTCTCACCAATTATACGTATTTCCTTTTTATTGTCTTCAGATTTTGATAATCAGTTTTTACTTGTGGCATCGCCATGGCTTCCTCTTCTGCTGCTCTGATTTGTGGAAAAATATCTCCGCACAGTAAGGAGGTCTCTTCAAAAGTGGTTACTCAGGTGCTTTAGCCATTAGAATAGACCATCTGGATTCGAGGCCTGGCTCCACCAAGGACTAGCATATGAAATGGGCAATACTTAGCCTTCCAAATCTCAGGTACCTTTATTGAGCTGCTGCAAGAATTATATTTTTTAATTCTTATAAATCTTAGAAGAGTCCTTGGAACAAAGTGACCACTCATAGCTATTATTGTAGTTTAGTTATCTTCCTAATTCACCCTCTATATGCAAAGGTCATACCATCATATATTTTAACGAAATCAAGCCACTGACACTGTGGTCTGCACACGGCTGATTATCAAGAAATGATGATGTGGGTACTGAAAAATATAATTTGCAATGTAGTCAAGCTTTCACAAGCCTTGATTTACTTGGAAGTACAAAGGTGGAATTGCACATTTTGGGGTGAATCTTCATCACTTCCTAAGTTTTAGAGATTTCGAAGGGCACATAGGAAATTTCTACTATGCATCTTATCATAACTTTACAATTGTAAACACATTTTATTTAATTACCCACTCTTCTGGGATTTATCATTATATAATTATTATTATTATTATTACTTCTAAGAAACTACCCTCTTGGTTTGACAGTCATTGTTTGAGTTTCTATTCATGATCCTACTGGGGGTTCTGGGGAAGGATTTGTTTCCTTGCCTTTTCTAGCTTCCAGAGGCATCCTGAGTTCCTTGGCTCATTGCTCCTTCCTCCATCTTCAAAGCCAGTGGCATATTATCTTCAAATATCTTTCTAAATCTGGCCCTCCTGTCTTCCTCTTTCACGTATAAGGCCCCTCATGATTACCTTGGGCCCACCCAAATAATTCAACACAAATTTTCCACTTTAAAATCATTAACTTAATCACATCTGCAGAAGTAGATACATGGGAGCAGCAACATAGACCTCTCTAGACTTCCTTAGGTGGGCTTACACTTGGGATTCCCACACTGGGAAGATTAGGTCATTATCATCAAGTGAGAACTGCTTCTGGATGGAGTGGAGAAGACTGAAGATCCCAGTAATCAGGTTGCAAATCACACTACTTAAAATCATGGGTTTTGAAGTAGAACAGACATGGGTTAGTGTCTTTATTCAAGCTCGTTGCAGTAAAGGTTGTGAGATCTCAAGAAATTTCCTGTCTTTTCGTATTCCCGTTAGCATAGTAATAACAATCCGCACTTCACAGAAACTGTTGACTATATTAAATAAAATAATACCTGGTACACACAGTGCATTCAATAAATAACAACTACTATGTTTACTAATATTATTACTAATACCATACTGATAAAGTACTTAGAAATGTAGCCTCTATTTTATTTGCCACCTCTGACCTTGGTTCGGTGAACAGGACTTTTGCTGCTTCATCAATAGGTATGAGCTGTCATTTCACAGGGTGGCCTATCTCAGATAAACATTGAGACCAAATGAGATTTCTATGAGGTGCCAACTGGAAGTTTGCAATGACTATGTTTACAATGATCCATTTTCACAATGCCCGTAAGTATGCTACCAGATTGCCATCTTCATAATGCATCAAATGCACTGCAATGCAGTTACAACAAACTTCTGCATAACTTGTGCCAGTAAATAAACCTTAGTGCTGGGCATCAGTGAAGGGGAGGCATGAACTATTTCTGCAGTTAAAGCCTAATAAGATGTCTGAAAGGAGGCAGCATGTGAAGAAGGAGTCAGTTGTTTTCTTAGATAGAGCAGGTTAACACATATGAAATGTTCTTAGTTGTTAATCACAAGACAAAATTCCACTTTCAAACTCCCAGGACTGCACAAAGTATACCATGGGTTTTCTGATTTTTAATGTCTTCTAGGTTCATGTTCAGATTTAGTGTATTGTTCAACTCTATTTTAAAAGCATATCTTTATATATTTAACAGCATATTTTTCACTTCATCTAATTATTTTGCACAGCTATTTGTCTCATATTCTTCTGAAAGAGAAATATTAATATATGTCAATGGTGTAGAAATTAGAAGCAACCTAAAAAGAATTGATGCAGTTGTATCCTAGAGATACAACTGTTACCAGAAGTAAGTTTCCTTTGTGTTAACACCAATCATCTCAGTGAATAATATAAAATAGTAGCAGCAATGGCAGGAAGAAAGTGAAGGGTATTATCAATTTGGGGGTGGTGTTAGTCTGCCATTTTGAGATAAAGTAGCTGGATGCAGTGCTTTCAGAATAGCAACTATTTTATTTAAAGTAGAATTCAGCGTGGGGCTGGCCCCATGGCCGAGTGGTTAAGTTCGCGCGCTCCACTGCAGGCTGCCCAGTGTTTCGTTGGTTCAAATCCTGGGCGCGGACATGGCACTGCTCATCAAACCACGCTGAGGCAGTGTCCCACATGCCACAAGTAGAAGGACCCACAACGAAGAATATACAACTATGTACCAGAGGGCTTTGGGGAGAATAAGGAAAAAATAAAATCTTTAAAAAAAAAAAAGTAGAATTCAGCAAAATGTAGCTTGTAGATGGAGTTTATAAACAAGGGAGTGCCTTGAGTAAATCTAACAGTTATTTAGTGAAAAATTCACTCAATGCAATCTATATATAATTTGCATAGATTTTTCAATTTTAATTAGGTGGTTAGTTAATTCAAGTAATCATTGAGCAGTTGGCTAGGTTCTCTCTGTAGTATATGAAGATAAAACATGGACTCTGCCCTCAAAAGACTTTCAATCCAGTCAACAGATCTGACATAATCAATGACAAACTTAATGCCACAAGAGTTAAACAGCAATGATTGGTAACAGAGAAATAATTCTATGCATTATTGATTTAAGAACCTAAGGAAGAATTCGTATGATAAAATAAATGCCACAATATCAGAGAAGGGTGTTGTTTCCTTGGCAATAGGTTCATGTAGGAAAATATAGAAATAAAGTGTTGAAAAAAATGGGTAGAAATCAGATTGTAGAGATTGTTATCCATAAATGTACCTACAAATAAGCCAACATTTATCATTTTAACTACGTGTATCCTTTCATGACCTAAGATTTTCATATCAATTTCAACAATGAGGATTTTTTCTTCTAAGTTAGAGCCACAGCTATTCAGAAAATCTATCTATCTATGATGTTTTACTAAATAGTATAGAGCAATAATGCATTTGAAGAATTACGTTCGGGGAGCATGTGCTCTGACCACCATTATCTTATGTTAGGCACTAGGGACACAAAGGGAAGGAGTATAAGCATGGAGATTGCATAATAAAGCTGAGACTTTAGGAGTGAAATCAATTCAACAGATATTTATGGAACAGTGTGCTGTGACAGGACATCAGATTTCCTACTTAAATGCCTGGTGGAGCCCTCAATCTTGTATACAAGGGTCAAGGCTTCTTACTCAAAGAGAGACAGCATGAGTAAGAGTCAGCCAGGTGAGGAAGAAGGGTAAGTAAGAGGGAAAGTCATGAGCAAGAGCCTACAGACTAGAGGGAGCAAGAGAATTGCAAAGAACTGAAGATTTTGGAAAGAATTGATATTTCCTATAAAATTTTGTAGATATAATGAAGAGAAAAATATATGCTAAAATGCAGCAAAATTTGATGAATGTGTTGCTGGATTTACTAGTCAAACAGTGTTGGTTCAGGAGAAAGCCAGAGAACTGTCCATAACTTATTGTTGACTAAAGAAGTGTAGGATTACAGGTCACTGTACTTGCCCCATTTCATTTAGTTCAACAGCTCAGCAAGAATTTATTCAGCAATAATAATAAGCCTTGCATCGTGCCTGGTGTAGGAGATGCTGAGTTGAAAAAACGACAGTTCTTGCACTCAAGGAACACTCCATCCTCTGGAAGAGAATACACATCACAGGAGGTTCAGCGTTGTGGGCTTGAGTTTTCTGTGGTGGAAGTCAGACTGTGAACTGAATCCCGAGCACATTAGTCAATTGAGG